GAGCGGTGCCTGAAACCCCCCTTGCTCCCCAGTCAGGTTGCACATGTGAAGTGCAAAGACAGGCAGCACTGTGTGCCCTCTCCGAGGGGTGTGTGCTGTTCCATATTAATGACAAAGACAGGAGTGGGAGCAAGAAGTCGCTATCATACACTCATTTGTTTAAAAAGAGCCAGCCTCACAATACAGTCGGCGGGAGTCCACAGGAATCCAGTGAAAGCTGGGGGCTGCGTCAATGACAAAAGACAGAAACAACCTCACTTTTTGTCCCTGAAACAAGGGACACCCAATTTCAGAGTGCTGTTGGTCTTTCACCAAAAACCAAGGATACCTTCATGCATTTCAATGGGAGTATTCCTGCATAAAGAAAGAAGTACTACAGCATAGCACAGTCATTTCTCTCCTGTTGTTAAGCCTTTCTTTATAGCTGAAACAATAGGACTGTGGTCCATCCCCATGAATAACAAATAAAGCATTATTTTACATGGCAGAGCAAGAAACCTGTGTGCAAAATAAGGAAAGTGAGAAAATGACAAAGATAAAACTGTTACTGTTTGTGAAAACATTATAATGCTTTCTCTTACTTTCAATGATCTCACTTCAGTACAAACATGTAAATCGCTAAATAGCATGTACAAAAAAAGTCAATAAAGTGCTAAATTCAACCAGCCTGTCAAGTTACATCAAAAATGGTCGGCTGAAGAGGCCAATTTTAGCTGAGATTATAAAAATTGAATATATCTCACACTCTGGCTCTAAAAGTGGGGCAGGTATGCCACCAAAGTGTAATTAAGATTCACTTGCTGCTGTTTTACTGATAATCCTGTGTTAAACTGTCACAGGCGAACAAAAGACCTTTTCCTCATTGAGTCATTGCCCGAGAGTGATTACTTTTGCCACACAAGTCCTTTCATTTTCTCAAGACAACGTCTCATACATCTCCCTACTCACTGGTTCCAGCAGAGAGTGAATTGCTCTCTCTGACATGTAGGGAACTCAGCATGTTCATATAGTAGCTCATATTTCCTCACTGCTGTCTCACTACATTTAATCTAAAAGGTGACATTAAGTTTAGTAATAAGATTTTTGGAATAAATCTAAAAATATATACAATACTCAAAAAATATTTGATAATATTTATAAAACAACTACCTCTAAAAGTTATAATCAAGTGAATAATGAGGCTTAAAGCTTGAAAGTGATAATTTATCCCAATGTGATTGATGGGTAGAAACTGATTTTTTTTTTCCTTTCTACAACTGCACACACAAACAGGAATCATAAAGAGATACTCGCCCCCTTCACGACCCTAAAACCCAACACTACTCCACCTGTTCAGTGTCCTGCTGAACAGAAGACGGGGGGGTACATGCACCACTCCAGCCCACTGTGTAAGAGGTTCAGGGCAGACAAAGACCAAAATAAATCAGCAATGCGTTTCTATATCCAGCTTGTGTTATATCATAATTACAGTTCAGTGCACCTGTACTCTAATTTGCACAATCTAACACCATTTAATTTTTGGTCTACTGAACATGAGCAGGTCAAAAGTTACGATACCATATGGCCCGGATGAATATGTTACCAGCATCATTTCTCTGGGGACAAGCTGATGCATCGGCCTAATTTTTTGGAAACTGTAGCACCCAAAGATTTTTTTCCTCTCACAGAAATAGAGCAGGTTAACGGTCGAGTCCAATCTGAGATTTCCCAATTTTAGATCTGCACTGAAAGCTGCTCTTTGCTCTATTTTTTTGTGCTGCATCAAAGATTATGTAACAGCCACATTTTAATTTCATCAGAAATTCAGGTTATTTTTAGTTTTACATCACCTAACACTTGATCTTTATTTTTAATTTTTTTTTAGGTATTTGTAATGTTAAGTTAAAGTTACCATGTCAGTCCTGACATCCAGGCTATAAAGCGCTGCTGCCAGGGGCGCTGGTAGGAATCCTGCGCCCCCCTGATGGGAGGTGACCCTGGGCTCCCCACCCTAATGCTGCTTTAATTTACAGTACAGCCTCGCCTGTCTAAACGGCCCTCAGTTGTCTGAGGAGCCCATAAAAGTCAGTGTCTCCCTTTTGTCCCTATCAGCAGCACCTCCGCCTTCTGCTCACATTTCCACTTACTTCTTATTCTAGTCAAGGCCTGAGGAGGACAACATGCACAGAATCAATCACACAAAGAAATCTAATGCTCCTTATTAAACATCTGCTTCTTCTTCTTACTCGCTTTGTGATTATGGGTGAATAATGGCATCTGTCTCATTCTCTACTAAACACTGAGGTTTTTTTCATCATAAACACAAGTGTGACAGCAGAAATGATTCCACTTCACACTTTGTTCCACACACAGGACTAAGAGTCCTACAGAGCTTGTAGAGAGAACATCCAGCAGGATAATGAGTTGCGTAGATATCCCATTAGAGCCATTTTAAGCATTCCTATTCTACTAAGTGACAAGAACTAAGAAATAATTAAAGATTTAAGATCTTTTGCAACCCAATTCAATTCTTTAAATGCTAGTGGTTCTCCTATTCCCTTATGAGTTTACCCAGTTGTACAGATGGTCAATCTTGATTTCAGAATTTGATTATGTTCTGTAGCTAGCTCACCAGCCATACGCAAAACATGATCAACAAATAACTAAACTATTTTAAGAGAGCAAGTGTTAGTGATAGCACAAAGTGAAGTACAGATGCAGCATTCCTATTCAAAGCCATGATTCAGCTGAGTTGCCATACTTCTCATGACTTCGTCTGAATTTTGCATGAAGGGATACAATACTTTGCAAGTCACAAAGAAATCTCTTTTCAAACAAGAAACAACCACAAGCAGTCTTCAAACATCAAGAGGATCCCGCCTATAAACAAGACGTGACGTGCACAAGCACACAAATACACAGTTGTACAGAATCTTACATGTGAGACAAGTGCACTTTTTTCCTGTGTATTTACATCAAGACATTCATGAGACAGGTCTGGATAATCTAGTTAAAGATGAAAGAAAGGAGAGTGAATCTGTTGCAGGTGAAATTGGTTGACCCCTGTAAGAGATTAGTCCATTAGCAAAAGAGAGAGCCCCACTCGCTAGACAAGTAGTGCCAGCTGTGACACTGAGCGCTGCCTGTCTGTTGGGGGGGGGGGAAGGGTGGCGACAAGGGAGCAGACAAAAAAACAGATGCATCTTTCTAGAATATTTGTTCTAAGAGTAATTTGGGGTTCTGTGTCTCTGTCCTATCTGGTTGTGGCCATGACTTTGTCTTTAACGCAGAAGCCCCGGGAGCTGTTGATTTTTCATCTAACATAGGCCTGTTTTTTATTACAAGTATCGATGCAGTTTTTATTGCAAATCTCAAATTTGATAAACCCCCTTCAGTCAGATTTCACCCATATTGAGCAAGTTGAGAAATAATCACAAATAGGCTTATTTTGGCTTTGTAATAACTCAAAATAAACCATACAAGGTTCACTTTTTGATAGAACAAGGAGAAGACTACGACTCTGACCATCTGTTGTGTAGGCAAACACACACACACACACACACGTTTGGACGATCATTTCAGGCAGCATGTCTGCTAAACACACACCAGTGTGGACAACCATAAAGTCTAACCTCATTACCAACTCAGTGCACTCTCCGCCAGTCTCAAGCACACGGCACTGCAGCAGCACAGTGGTGTAAAAACACCTTAAAAGGGCCATTCGTTTCCTCTCAAATAAACCACCTGAGTCTGACTGATAGGTGCTGCATGGTGTTAATTTACAACAACAGGCGCCACCATAGTGTGACGAGGTGGAAGCAGTACAGTGAGATCAACCTCTCCGCCCCTTTGCTTTTCCAAGGGAGTTCCTGTACAGCTTTGCTTAATGGCCCGGCTGAGTTATTGAACACATGGTGCTTCTACCTGTTGGTCTGACAGAGCAGACAAAAAAGGAAACCTGGAGACAGGCGTAATCTTCTGCACATTAAACACCAAAATTAAAAGAGGGCTTCTAAAAAAAACATCTTTTGTCCTTGTTTCATCTTCTTTTTCAAAGAACCACCAGGGGCAAAATAATCTATTTTCAAAGCATACTTTAAAGTCACCACTTAATGCCAAGTTACTGCATTCAGTTCATAACCAAAGAACCAAATAAAACTTGGAAGCATTCACTTGTACAACCCATTACAGCTGCCCACATCCAAAATGAGCTCTGTCCTACGTGTAATTACTAGAGGGAGCCTGTCAGGAGCGCTTTCCCCCACCCAACAGGCAGCCCATAATTACAATAAATCAGACAGGATGTGAACACAGCATAATTCTACTCAACAACTTGATGACATCATGGCGTGAGCACATGTGAAGACTGGGTAAGGATGACTCCCTAACTGCCTGCCTCTCCCATCATGTGGGGGGGCAAAAAGGAGGGGTGGCACAATGGACAATACTTTATGTCACATAAGCAGTTTATACACATCAAATCCGCTTTTATTGATATGAGCCTACATTTACAATAATAAACCATGTACTGCCTTGAGTTAAGTTAAAAGAAGCTTGATCTTATTCATTTTTACCTTATGTCATACCTATATGTATAGATATTTAGATATAGGATTTTTCAAAATTTCACTGCATTATATGTAGTTTATACGCCGCTAAACAAACAAAAAAAGATTGATTGTCATCATTTGTAATTTAACAAAGAAAGGTAAATGTATGCAACATGAAACCTCACAACAACATAAAAGGAGCACCCAGTCAAATACTTTTATCCCTCTTCTAGGAGGAATGGAAACTATATAATATTATAACTATATAACAGCTCACTAATTTAAATAACTAAAAAGACACAAGCGTCCCTTCTCCACCTCTCCCCGGAAATGTAGTCGATACGCCGGGCTGAAGTTTTGGTGACACCTGCGTGTGACTGCTGGGACTTTCCCCTCATACCTGCGGCTCTGGCGCACGGGCGCATCCCGCGTGAACGCCACCACTGCCCGGATAAAGAGACAATAGCTTACCTTGGCGGAGGAGCGCGATGATGAAGAGGGCATTCACGCAGCAGGCGGACAACAAGTGCATCCTTGCGAGTCTCTCAGATCCTCAGAAGGCTCCGTTTGTTTAAGAGGTTTGTTAAAACCACTTGGTTGAGGGGTTTTTTTTTCGGACGTGGATTAAATTCAAATGGTCCTCGCAAGCCCCAGTTGCTGGTTGCTGTAAAAGGCAGTTCAGTTTAGATTTTGACTCTTCTCACAACGTGGCATGTGCTCACCAACACGCGCTCACATCAGTTCTGGGTAAAACAGGTAATTGTGAGGGGCAAACTGACGAGCGCGAGGGCGGGGGATGCTGTCTGCAGCTCCGCCCCTGATACCCCCCCCCCTCCACCTCCCTCCACTCCCTACACTCCCTTTCCCCTCGAGCAGTAGGCCTTCCTCTCCCCCTCCTCCCACGTAGACCCCAACCCCACACCCATTTTCTTAAGACCCCCCTCCACTCAAGCCCCTCTTGTCCCCCCTACTTCTCCCCCTCTCACCCCCTTTACTCTCATCTTCAGCTCCTCTCTTTCTCTGTTTCTACCCCCTCTTCTCTTTCCAACATGCAGTGTCATTCTGCATGCATGCACACACATATATACACACACACAAGGCAAAACCTTCAATCAAGCAGCACTTCAGACTTGTTTCATGCTTCTACTCAAAGGAGGAATAAACACCCTAATCCTCAACCTGTAGGCTACTTAAAACGTCACTCACCTTTAAAGTACATATTTAGTTAAGTATTCAAACAATGGTAAAAACATATTCAAGTTGAATTCTGACAATGATATTACCAATTAATGGATTAATTGGCTGGTTTATTAAACGTCACAATGTCACAGAGCCCAAGGTGACAATTTCAATTAGTCTGAAATATACAGTTGCAGATTGTGAATATCCATCAGGTAATTGAATCGTTCAATCAAGTATCAAAAGACTGTTCTGTATGTGTTTTAAATACTCTAAATGGATTAATAATGAAACCCACACACATGATTTTTGCAATTTGGGGGGATTTCCATTGTTCCAGATTGCATTCTTTCTCAGTTCAATGTCAGTTCAATGTCAAAAATGTAGTGCGCCATCAAGATACATAAGGCTGAGAGTTCCTGAAAAGTTGACATTTACTGTAGATGTTTTTTTTTGTTTGTTTGTTTTTTTTTTTAACAGTGACATTTTATGAGCTTATCACAATGGGAAATCTGAATCTGCAAAGTAACTTGTAAGGACAGCCATCACATAAATATTGTGAAGTAAACAGCATAGTGTCTTAATCTGGAATGTAGTAAAAGTGCCAAAAGCTCAAAACTGTATTTAATGAAATGAAAATACATGTCACTTTCCACTGCTGCCTTCAGAGTGCACTCTCACACACACACCTACATGTACATACATACTGAGGTATACATCAGCCCCTGCCTAGACTTGTTTCATGCAGGAAATGACACTGTGCCTGAGGACAGAAGGCTCATGGTAAAGCCAGCTATAGGGTGTGGGTCCAAGGTTAATTATAATGAAAACATTTCCACATAAATAATTTAGCTTTAATTAATGATTAAAATCCTTTCTCATATCTCCTTACTTTTCAATTATTTCACTGAGCCCATTCAAGAGCAGCACCACAATAATTAATATCCATATAATGACTATGCTAATAATTAGAATTAATGTGAGTGCTTTGGCACTGAGAGAGCTTTTACTGCACTACACTTATACTAATTTTTAGCTCTTGGAACGTCAGTAGTTGTCTTTATTTACTTGCATGGCGTGTCATGGTTTCAAGCCAGGTTTTCCTTGTGATGACAAATAGATTTTGACTATAGATGAGGGCGTTGTTTTGCAAAAAGTGCCACGCTGCAAAACAGTGACAGTTTCACCGAGTCCATTTCAGAAGTTGGTAAAAATAACATCAGAGCATGTAAAATGTCATTAAAACCACACTTGCTGCAAATAAAATGATGTACCACTGTGCTGTAACTGCATGATCATGCTTGTCTGATCACAAAAACGTGTGTGTCTGCCTGTGCACACAGTGTGTGTTGTTGGGCTGGTGGAGAAATCTATCGTAGTGAAGAAGTAAGTATTCCTCACCCTGGGTGTGAAATGCGTGTAGGTCTGTGATGGTTTGTGCAAATGGAGTGAAGGCACAGGCTGTGAAAACCTAATGCAATTTGATTAGAAGTTAACCGCAAAGCAATATTTTGCCTGCCTCAGTGCACAGAGAGAAAAAAAAGAACTATTTGCTTTTTTCCACGTGGGTGAAAGTGAATGAGACTGACTGATGACCAAGCCTGAAGCGGGGTGTCCAATTACCAAACAATAACATCTCGGTCATAATTGGGATTTTAGGTGAGGCTGGTCAAGGATTAAATGTCGAAAAACACCAAATAACAAAAGCAGCATAATCATGAAACCAAAAAAACAAAACAAATCGACCCTTACCCTGCTAAAACTTCACGTCATGTTCTTTCTTTTTAGTGGAATAAATGCAGCTGTAGCTCAGGTTAATTTCATATTCACAGGAGAGCATTTTCAGTCAGTCACCATGACTGGAGAACGAGATTACACACAGACTAATGAATTATAATATATCATGTTATACTGGAGGAACTGTACCGACTCCTGCTGTCTTTCATTTGATGAAAGAATGAGCGCTCCTATTTTGACATCTTGTGAGACATCTTGTGACACTGCTCCTGCTATGAGCATGGAAACAAACAACCCTGCGTTGCTATGGACTCAGGCAATGAAAGTACACATTTTTGACATTCAGGGATGCTGCAGACAGGATGTCTTTTCTCTTCCCCCACTGGCTGATGTTGCAGGTCTACCCTAATTATCATAGGTGTGTTTCAAGTATAATAATAATTAAATTTAGCTTTGTCAGAATGACTGCAACAACACCAGTAACCAGAACCGGCGGTGCAGCATGGGTTACAGACTGAACAGGATGCTGCTCATTTGCAGCCCTGCAGTGGTCAGTTCTCTTTTGCATTCCTTCATTTATACCCATTTGAGGCAGCAAATATGGCACATTAATTTGGCTCCTCTCCAAGATTTGTGAAAATCAGATTTCTCCTGTCCCGTGGAGGTGTTGGCCCTTTCGCAACTTCTCCTGGGATGCAGACAAGTGATTAGTCTACTACAGATTGGGCTTCAGTAAACTGTGTCAAGCAGCGAACATAGTGACCCTGACATTTTCAGCATGGCCAAGGGAGGGGAATATCCACTTAATGGCCAGTCCTGTGCCGACCAGCAGCCCCACTTTGGATCGATAATTGCTTCATTAGTTAATCTGATTGAGTGTGTGAGCAGCCTGTAGTCGATGCAGAGTTACCTCTCTTTCTGTGAGGAGTCTGTGTTTTATTGATTTCATTGTTCTCTGTAGAGCCTAACTTTTCCCCCCAACTAATCCTCGCATTTACACAAAGAAAAGGAGAATGGATCTCTTTGTTTGAGCTCCTCTTGCCACTCATACCTCACTTCTATTAAAGTCGATCAATAGAAACTGCTTCCTGATAGCAACAGTAAAACAAATGAGAACACCAAATGGCCCGTCTTATGTTGCCAGGTTCCTTGTGGTCTAAAAGGACAACTGTGCCAACAATATTTAGCATGCGCACAATGTCCGCATATTTCTAAATGGTAAACTGTTGTTTAATTTGAGTGAGAGCTAATGATAGATGTTGTGTGTGTGATGTGTGTATTATTGTACTAAGGATGTCATTCGGATGACATGGTGTCTTGTCCATGTTATCATGCGTGAAGCTGCATTACCTGATTTTACAACCACTTGGGGGTAAAGAACACCATAATAAACACAATAAATATAAAGTTTATGTATTATAAGCTTAAGAAGTTGATATGACAAATATGTTACAAATCCAGCTGTCATTTGAAGGCATGTTTTTGGCCAACCCTATTAGTCAATTTTATTTTAGCTCTGTTTTTGTTCTCCACCAACTCCTGAGGGAAATATCTGGCTCCATCATGCGCTCCAGCTAGTTGTTAACTTTTGTCATGCGGTGCCAGGCACATTTGATCCATTGTTTAATATAAAAATAGTGATTATAGCAGCTTTCGTTTTTGACACGCCAATTGTTTGCTTCTCAACAGGTTAAAATCTGATGTCCTAGGAGGTTAAAAGCGTGTCGATACATTGAGCTTTGCAACAATGTTGACTGATGCTTTAATGCCTTTGGCTGGCTTTTAGTTTTGTTTAATCCGTTCTTTCTCTGGTGTTATTTAGCATTCTATTATAAAATCTGTTAATAGTAGACCAGTAGCAGTTTGAATAGAGAATGAAGGAGTGAATGTCAGTAAGAGAGAGTGCTATGATATTGCATTAAAATTCAAAACTTACAGAAGTACTTACTTAAGTGGTTTTGAACTCATTAAAGCAATTGAAAATGAATGCGTAAACACACTTATAACATTTTTAAACGCCAGAGATTGACCAGTCAAGACAACACAAATGCAGAATTTAAAGATCTTTCACATGGCTCGTGGCACTTCTTCCATGAGTGGTCAAGAACATCTCATTGCATTAGTGCATGTTGGTGCATATTTTCCTGTTATTCTTCATGCTGGAACAGTTCCTCAATTCATTCCACACTCTGTAGTTTAATGTCATATTATGTCGTTTCACCATGTGTGAGGTTTTCATCCTGCGTGCAGTCAGTTAATCCTGCATTGTGGAACTGTATGGCAGCATGTCAGTGCAAATTTACCGAGACAAATTCCTTGTGAAACCATTGTGCTTGGTGAAAGGAAGTGATTCCTAAAGATGCTACAGAGAAACTGCAGTATTAGAAGCAGAGTGAAAAGTGTTGAATAAATGCTGTTGTTTCTGCTTTCTTATAATGTATTTGATGATCCTTCAACATATGATGTATGTCTTCTAAAGAGGAAATTACACTCACACACACATTACATTTATACAGTAGAGTAGAAAGGTAACTTTTCTATGTAAGAGTTGAAAGACATCAAATCATCACTTGTGATGATTTTGATATCATATTTATATTTGTCATGTTGTTGAGCAGATCAACTCTTTCCTACCCAAAAGGGAGACCTAGTATTAAGTGACAGCATTAAATCAAGTAACAAGGAACAAGAAAACCAACCCAGCTGATTTTGGATAAAATCTGTGTGGGAGAATCAGTTACACCGGGGGCGTAAGTTCAAATGTATTACAGGTGAAATGTTTACAGCCTGTCTGCCAGCATTCTGCATTGGATGCAGCTGTTGGTGTGTGATATATTCGAAC